GAGGAGGAGGAGGAGGAGGAGGGGAGGAGGAGGACGAGGAGGAGGAGGAGGAGGAGGAGGAGGAGGAGGAGGAGGAGAGGAGGAGGAGGAGGAGGAGGGAGGAGGAAGAGAAGAAGGAGGAGGAGGAGGATGAGGCGGAGGAACAGGAGGAGCAATAGAGGAACAGGAGGAGGAGTAGGAGAGCTCTGCTGGACTCTGCAACGATGCCACACACGTTGCCATGGAGGAGGAGCAGGAGGAGGAGGAGGAGGAGGAGGAGGAGGAGGAGGAAGAGAAGAAGGAGGAGGAGGAGGATGAGGCGGAGGAACAGGAGGAGCAATAGAGGAACAGGAGGAGGAGTAGGAGAGCTCTGCTGGACTCTGCAACGATGCCACACACGTTGCCATGGAGGAGGAGCAGGAGGAGGAGGAGGAGGAGGAGAAAAGGAGGAGAAGGAGGAGGAGCAGGAGCGGAGGAAGAGGAGGAGAGGGGAAGGGAGGGGGAGCGGAGGAAGAGGAGGAGAGGGAGGAGAGGGAGGGAGGGAAGAGGGAGGAGGAGGGAGGAAGGGAGGAAGTAGGAGGGACGAAGAGGGAGAGAGGGAGGGAGGGAGGAGGGAGGGAGGAGGGAGGCAGGGCAGCTCCTGGGCGAAGGGATCGAGAGCTCCGGGGGGGGGACTCAACGGGGCGCAAGCTCCGTGAGGCAGAGCCCAGGACGGCCCCCGACGGCCTGCAAGGCCACCCGAAGACGGCCCCTTCTGGCGTCCAATGGGGTCGGTCAAGATCGAAGGTGGTCGAGAGGATCAAAGATCGAGGATGATCGAGAAGGATCGAGGAGGAGAATCCAGGAGAAGAATCAACGAGGAGGAAGAGGATCGAGATCCCCCAGCGGCCCCCGAAAGACCCTCCAGAGGGCTCCGAGGCAGGAGGCAGAAGGGCTCGGCAGAATTCGTGGTTCCCTCAACGGCGTCGCAAAGCAAGTTCACGTTGTGCGAGAAGTCAGCGCGTATCAGGTGGAATACGCACTTCTTGCACCAGAGACCCAGCCTTGTGGAGCCGTGCCCGAAGAACTGTTTTGTGTGTTCTAGGCGGTGGAGAAGAAGATGCAGGCAAATATAAACCTTGAGGAAAAAGGAAAAAGAACGTCGTGGTTGAGTCGATGCCCTTACCATTATCCCCTCCCTGCCGGGGAAGGGGGGGGTCCTCTTTTACTGTGGGGGGGTCCAGGGTCAGAATACCCCCGCCTCCCCCCCCCCCCCCGCGGTCCTGGCGGGTCCAGGGGGGGGGGGGCGCCAGCGGGGGTTCCGAGAGAGCTCCCGCCCTCGGGGTCGGCGGCACCGGCCGCAAGTCCTTCGCAAAATGAGTCCGTGAGGGCATATCAAGACTCCCCGGCGGCCACGGTGCTCCAGGACGGAGACCAGAAGGACCCAGCAGAAGGTCCCGCATAGGCCACCCCTACCCCCCACGATTTCTGAGGGGGAGGGTGGGGTTCACTCCGTTCGGGAGGTCACGAGCGAAGTGAACCCCACCCTCCCCTTCAAAAATCGTGGGGGGTACACCCTGCGAAATGCTTAAGAAATCATGGGTTAAGAAATTCATAGTCTCAGAACTTGAATAAAACCCAGAACTTCTGTCAAAATCTTGGGACTTACATTGGAAAGCTAAGAAGAATCGAGACTCTGGACGAAAACTTAGGTTCTCTTAAGCATCGCCTAAGGTGTAGGGGTGGGGTTCGCATGTGGCCCCCTGTGGGAGAGCCCGCGCCCCGATGACGGCGCCCGAAGACTCCCCGGGGGGGGACTTCTCGCTGGCCCCACGCGGGCGGCTCCCACGGGGCGGCTCCGGGAGGCCCCGCATGAGGCGCCCGGCGCCCACGGAGACCTCCACACAGGGCCGCCCTCGCGGAGCCCCGCCGTCGGGACCGGCCTCCTCCTCCTCCTCGTCCTCCTCCTCCTCCTCCTCGTCGTCCTCCTCCTCCTCCTCCTCGTCCTCCTCCTCCTCCTGCTCCTCCTCCTCCTCCTCCTCATCCTCCTCCTCCCCCTCCTCCTCCTCCTCCTCCTCCTCCTCCTCCTCCTCCTCCTCCTCCTCCTTCTCCTCCTCCTCACCCACCAGATGGCGCGGTTGCGACACCCCCTGAACGATGAACATTTTCTGGGCGGCCCCGACCTTCCGCTTCTGAAAACCAGCCCGATGAGTCACAGCTCCTCCTCTGCTCGCTGCGCCATGGCCTCCCTTGCCGCGCCCGTCGCCTGCCTTCCGGTGATCCCTCTCCCTGCGCGCTCGCGGCATGCAACCTTCGCACGCGGGCGTCCGAGACGTGTCTCGACAAGTCCACTCTCCACAAGTCCAGCGCATCTGTGAGATCGTCCCGCATGCGTGACAAGCCAGCGACCGCTCCCGTCTCTCCGCCACATCGGCAGACGCACTCCCAGAACGCCCAGGGGCTTTGCGGGCGTGGCGTATAATCAAAATGTGTGCAGTAGGGGCTCGACCACAAGAAACCTTCCAAAAGAAACCCAACCCTGAGACCCCAGGACGTCCATTGACTTTTGGTGTGGGAACCGTCACGCTTTCCATCGCAGAACCATCGAAACCCAGGAAACCCAGGGCACCCTGGAGGCAAGCAGGGTGTTTCTTGGCATGGGCCTCCACTGTATCAAGGACGGGTGGCGAGGACGCAAGACCCTTGGAGGCCGAAGTTGGGATTTGCTGGGCGGCGGGCGACCAGTGAAAACGGCAAACGGCGGGGCTGCAGAGGCAAGGACACAAGGGCACCCTAGATGACGGCGCGCGTCCTTACTAGGCGCGTCGACTGCAAGCACGATGGGGCGGGCAGTGTTGGAGGCCTGGAAAGTGGCGCCAACACCAGCACAAGAGGTTGCCTCCACATGGGGAAACTGATCCTAGATTTCGGTGTTGGTGGTAATATTACCAAAATATTACCACCATCACCGAGCTTGGGATCGTCCTCCCTCGGTGGAGGCACACCGCCGATCTTGGTGCTGGTGTCAACCTCTAGGCCTGCGACAGTGGGGGGGCTGCAGGTCCCGAGTGGCGGGCCAGGCCCCCTTGGCGCAACATGTGCATACACAACAAGGCCCACACGGGCATCGTTTCCTCGCGCGTGCGGCTTCCTTGGTGGCGTCTCTCTCCGAGCGCGCCAGAGAGGAGAGGCGAGGAACTGTCGAGCCCGCACCTTGAGCATGCATAGGCAGCTGGCCAGGGGGGAGCAACAAAAGGAAGGATGCTGGAGAACCCCTGCAGCCCCCTGCCCGTCCCAGCAAGGACCTCATCCGTCGCCGTGTCCCAGTAATAAAAAGCCTCGTGTGGCTCTGACCACACGGCCTGGCCCGACGGTACCAATGCCACTCCTTCCTCGTCTGCAGGCTCCGAGTACCAGACCCTGCGCTGTCCTTGTCGAGTCGCCCTTCCCATCCCTGCGTCCCCCGTGCCCTGCCTCTTGTGCGCTCCCATTCTACAGCTTCGCGTCCCGCTTTCATTCTGGACACCGTCTATACCCATGAACTCCCAGCCAATCCCGAGCATCTCCTGCACCAAAGTCCTCCCAACCTTTTTCCTCCTCCTCATCCTCCTCATCCTCCTCCTTCTCCTCCTCCTGCTCCTGCAAATTCCCTTCCTCATCCTGCTATTCTCGCTGTTCTCTGCTAGCTGATCCAAGACGTTCTGTATGAACAAGCCTCCCGAGCTGGGCCCAGCACCTCCATACCCAGCGACCTCAGAAAAGCCTGCGACGTGCCCGAATGAGACAGTACGACAATTCCTCTTCCTCCTCCTCCTCGTCCTCCTCCAACTCCTCATCCTCGTCCTCCTTCTCATCATCATCATCATCATCATCATCATCATCACCACCATCATCATCATCATCATCATCATCATCATCATCATCATCATCGTCATCATCATCATCATCATCATCATCATCATCATCATCATCATCATCATCAACATCATCAGCATCAGCATCAGCATCAGCATCATCATCAGCATCAGCAGCATCATCATCATCAGCAGCATCATCACCATCATCATCAGCATCCTCATCATCATCACCATCATCGTCCTCCTCATCCTCCTCAACAACAGAATCCTCATCATCATCATCATCAGCATCATCATCCTTACTATCATCATCATCATTATCATCATCATCATCATCACCATCATCATCATAATCATGATCAGAATCAGCATGATCATCATGATCATCATCAGCATCATCATCATCAGCAGCAGCAGTATCATCATCATCATCATCATCATCATCATCATCATCATGATCAGCATCATCATCATCATCATCACCATCATCAGCATCCTCCTCCTCATCATCCAGAACACCACAACTACCAAGACCATCATCAGCGTCAGCATCACCATCATCGTCAACATCATCATCATAATCATCATCGTCCCCACCCTCATCATCATCATCATCATCATCATCATCATCATCATCATCATCATCAGTATCATCATCAGCATCATCATCGTCATCCTCATCATCGTCATCATCATCAGTCTCCTCATCATCATCACTATCGTCGTCGTAGTCGTCAGCAGAATCATCATCACTATAATCAGCAGCATCATCATCATATCATCCTCCTCATCATCATCACCATCATCAGCATCATCACCATCAGCATCATCATGATCATCATCAGCATCCTCCTCCTCATCCTCATCCTCACCCTCATCATCATCATCATCATCATCATCATCATCATCATCATCATCATCATCACCACCATCATCATCATCATTATCATCATCATCAGCAGCAGCAGCAGCATCGTCATCCTCATCATCGTCATCATCATCACTATCGTCGTCGTCAGCAGTATCATCGTCATCAGCAGCATCATCACCATCATCGTCTCATCCTCATCCTTATCATCAGCATCATCATCATCGTCATCATCATCATCGTCATCAGCAGCATCCATGTACTGATCTTCATCCTCCTCATCCTCATCCTGATACTCATCATCATCATCATCATCATCATCATCATCATCATCATCATCATCATCATCTTCATCCCCATCTTCATCAACATCCGCATCATCATCAGCAGCAGCATAATCATCAAGAGCAGCATCATCATCGACATCATCATCAGCATCATCATCATCATCGTCAGCACCATCGTCAGCATCATCATCATCATCATCATCATCATCATCCTCATCATCCTCATCCTCACCCTCATAATCATCGACATCACCGTCAGCATCATCACAAGCATCACCACATTCGTCCTCGTCATCCTCCTAATCATCATCATCAGCAGCATCATCAAGAGCAGCATCATCATCGACATCACCATCAGCATCATCATTCGCATCCTCATCATCATCATATTTCTCATTATCATCGTTATCATCATCAGCATCATCATCCGCATCCTCATTATCAACAGCATCATCATCATCAGCATCATCAGCATCATCATGATTATCAGCATCATCATCACTATCAGCATCATCATGAGCATCATCATCGTCACCCACATCATCCCCATCATCCGCATCATCCTCATCACCGCCATCATCATCATGATCATCATCATATTCCTCCTCATCCTCATCATCACCATCATCATCAGCATCAGCATCATCATCACCATCATCATCAGCATCACCATCATCGTCATCGTCAGCATCATCGTCAGCTTCATCCTCATCCCAATCATCATCCTCATCCTCATCCTGATCCTCCTCGTGATCCTCCTCCTCATCGTCCTCCTCCTGAGACGCTGAGACGCTGATGGCAATGGTGTTCGTCGAACGCTGCCGTTTTCCTCTTCCTCCTCCTCCTTCTCCTCCTAATCATTGTCATCAGAATTTGTTTTCTGCCTGCCCCATCAGCATGCACGTTCGCTCTGGAGGCTGCGGGTGAAAGCGCGCTGCGCGAAGACAGAGATCACCTGCGAGAAGTTGCGAACGCAGTGCAGCTTCTATAGGTGAGTTGCGTTGCGTGGGATAGAGTGCGGCATGTCGGGCCGAAGCTACCCCGTTCACAAACCTGGCTGCTCAGACACAAACTTGAGAGTTCTCCAGCCTGGAAGGCCCCAGCTACAAGCGAAGGAGTGAGCATGAGGATGAGGCGGGTGAGGAGAAGCAGGAGGAGGAAAAGAAGGAGAAGTGAAGAGGGAGGGAGACAGAGAAAAGAGAACAGGGAGAGGGCGTGCGGCAGCCATGAGAGAGGATGGTAAAGGGAAGCAACAGGGAGTGGACACAGGAAGCAGGGAGGAGGCTGGCAGCAAGGGGGTATCCTTCTTTTTCCCCCTCCTGCCTCTCCTGCCTGATCTACTGATGTGTGAAAGGCCGGGCCAGCACACACTTGAAGTCACACCAGCAAAATAGATCGGTTAAAGCAGACCTATGTATTAGTGCACAGAACTCGCTGCTTCCCTGTCTCTCTCTCTCTCTCTCTCTTTCTGTCCCCCTGTGTGTCGCTCTCTCTCTCTCTCTCTCTCTCTCTCTCTCTGCTTTAATGTTCTCTCTCCCTCTCTCTCTCTCTCTCTCTCTCTCTCTCTGTCTCCTCTCTCAGCCACTGTGTTGGAGTGGAATATACACATGTACGCATACACGTGTGTGTGTTCTGTATACATACATACACGCACATGAATGTACACACTAAACCGTTCGGGTGCGTATCTCGTCCACTGAAGTTCTCCCAGCGATCAAAGCCTGCCGCGAGGGGCCAAAACACGAGGCCTTGGAGGCGCCTCGGAAACGCATCTGGGAGCCCCAGGGGGCCTCCTGGGAGCCTTCGGGGGGAGGAAGAGGAGGAGGAGGAGGAGGAGGAGGAGCAGGAGGAGGAGGAGGAGGAAGATGAGGAGGAAGAGGAGGAGGAGGAAGAGGAAGGAAAGGAGGAGGAGGAGGAAGAGGAAGAGGAGGAGGAGGAAGAAGAGGAGGAGGGGGCCATGGGGCCGCCCTCAGACCTCCCAGAAGCGTCACGGCAGATCCTTGGATGGGCCTCACCCCAACCCACGGCGCTCGAGGCAGCAGCGGGCCGCGCGGCGGCCGGCGCACCCGCGGCAGCGCAGCGGGCACCGACAGCCACGGGGCGCAGGCACGCGCCTAGCGGCGCCTGGCAGCGCCCGACCACGAGCGGCGAGCGAGGGGGCAGCGAGGAGGAAGGGAGGGAGGAGAAAAAACGAGAAGGAATCGCAGGCCTCGAGGTTGACACCAACACCAATATCGGCGGTGTGCATTCCCCGAGGGAAGAAGATCCCGATCTCGGTGACAGTGGTAATATTCTGGCTTCCAAGGCGGTCGAAATATTACCACCCACACCGAAATCTAGGATCACCTTCCCCCTGTGGAGGCAACCCCCTGTGTAGGTGCTGGTGCCCATTTCCAGGGCACCGAAGGAAGCTCAGGGCGGAGGGAGGGGAGGGACAAAAAGAGGCGGGGAGTGAAGGCACGCGCCCAGCAGCGCCTGGCAGCGCCACAAACCCGGCAGGCAGCAAGGGAGATCTGTTCAAAGCCGCGCGCATCGGCTCGTGGGCGAGCCGACCGTACCGTTTTCTGAGCTCCACCACACCGCCGCCCTCGACACAGTTGCAATGCGAGGTGTGCAGAGTGCACGTGCGCAGCTCAGGGCAAGGCCCGTCACGGCTGAGGTGACCCCTCTGAACATGGGCTTCCCCTCCCTAGCGCAAGAGCCGCCCTGAGGTGGCGGCCCACACAGTCCCGCACTCGCACTTGAGCCGCGACACTTTCGGCAGCGGCCCAACGCGCGACCAGCCCCCCTGGAGTCCTGCTCGGCACAGATTGGGAGCGCATTGGGGACTTCTTGTAGCATGTCGGGGACTCCTGGGCCGTCTTAGTCGCTCTGGCATCCTGGGGACTTGTGGGGCCATCTTGGTCGCTTGGAATATTGCCACCAGAAAACGAATACGCAAAACTCGGGCTGTCGGGGGTGGGCAGGCCCCCGTTAGCAAAAAACAAGCTTTAGTCAAAGCGGCGCGGGCGCGGGCGGGCCCTCCAAAATGGCGGCTGTCTGACCCTCTCGAGGGGTCAAATGGGCCCACGGGTGCATTCGCTGCTCGACTGAGGCTCGCCAGATGCAGCGTCGCGCGCCGGGAAAACCCCATCGTGGCCCAGATTGCGACATGCGGCTCGAGGCGGGGGCGAGATCCCCCGCGCAAGTGAAAGCTGGGAGAGCTGCGCAGCCAGAAGAATAAAGCTTAGAGCATATATATACATGTAAATGTACATACATCCATCCATAAAAGTACATGCTATATACATATATACATACATAAATATTGCCTCTATACATATATGCTTATGTATGTGCAAACATATATACATGAGTATGTATGTACCTGTTTGTATATGTATGTCTGTATGTATGTATGTAGGTATGCAGGTATGTATGAATATGTACATA